GACGACAACAATTGAAATAGCATTTAAATTTTCAAAGATTATTGATGACTGGAAAGCAAGTAGTCAGAAGAGAGATCCACAAGCAAGAAGTGTGAGAGAAGAAACTCTTAGCATAGAACTTACAGTTACATCTTGTAACAATAGAGAAAATGGCTTACTTCCGGGATGAAAACAGGTTCGGGCATGTGAAATATTCCGAAAAAGAAAATGGTGACATATATTTAAAACAGATAAACTGTTAGAAGAATCTCTTAACATACGCAAATTTTAACTGTCATTCAATCTATAGAAAGTGCTTAAAGAGCCAACAGAGACAAGTGCAACTGCTGTAGTGAACAGGGAACGTGTTGTTAGATTGATCGACTTGCGCTACTCTGTTGGTTGATGGAAACAGAATAGTGAATTTTATTAAAAGCCAGAAGAAACTGACTACACATCTAGCCATTTCAACCAAAAATGATGAGACCTAGCTGCCAATTTAGTACTGCACTTTAATTCATAAAATCTACACACCATGTGAAAGTATTTAAAGTAGAGGCAAAGAGAAGCTATGTTATGGCATTGGGAAGGTGACTAAAGTCGAGATGCCAGGTTAGAACCAATAACATTGCATATTCTTCGTATTTTATTAAGAATCTTTAAATACATAGCAGAAGCACCAGACCAAATGTGATAGCAATATTCAGTGCACAGATGAATAGACAACTTATAAATGTGTAAGGTAAATTTTGGTAAGAAAAATTGTCTGTCAACACTGAACCAACTTTCCTAGCAATTGATTCAATATAATCTTTGTAGCAAAAAAAGCTTTAAACTTTTTTGTTTCTTTCTCTGCAAACATATTTAAATAACAGACATGGCAGCCCAATTCCACAGTGAAATAAACAACTCGCAATTCCAAACTTGAAGATCCAGGGGCAGAAAGAAGTGTTGAAATCATGAATTGCAGGTCCAATATCACAAATCCTAATACACATAAATGGTTAGAAATCCAACGCACAAGACAACAGTTACATTCAACCCCAGGGACGAGGTAGAAAAAATAGACTTCCCAGTTTGAGAACACCAACTACTTTTATTGACTGAACAATTTTTCATTGGTTGACAGGTGGAAGAAGACACAGAGACAATATCCGAGATGCATTTATGGCAACACTTGTGACTGACTTGTTTCCACTTCATATTATTGGAAATCTTTAGCATGAGAAAACACAGTCACTCTCCTGCAAGTTACCATCAGCCAGCTGATGGAAGGCAAAAAAGGTTCTCTCACATGATTAAATAGGAGTAGTTTTGTTTTAGGTGTTAAAATTTAAATTTTACCATATTAATTTCTTTCTAGAATTGTTCCCCCTGCCACTGCATTTTTTTGAGGGTTTAAAAACATGAACACCTACTGTTTTAAAATTGTTATAACTTTCTTTCTATTGTGCATATAGATTTTAATTTTTGTACACTAATAAAAGAATGAATGAGTAATATTTTGATGTAATGCATTACATTTTGCATGCATGTTTTGATGTTGAAAACAAAAAATTGAAATGCAAAATAAAAAAATGCAAAATTTAAACAAATACATTAAAAATTAAATAATTCAACATACTTTAACTTTTATTACTCACTGTGGAGTTCTGGGTGTGCAATAAGAAGCAAAGTTGCTAAGAAGGTTTTCATTTCATCAAAAAAGTGACGGGTTTCTTAGAGATTACATACAAGAAGACACTAGTATTTGTTTGTTCTTTCTTTCACCGGACTCATAGTTATTTGTCTCATTGATGAATAAAGTTATTATAAATAGACAAAATAATTCACCTTCAGAAAGGCTATCAGGTATATTGATGGTCGCCAGTAGCTTCCATAAAATTAGTCAGGCATAGATGCTGTAGCCACTAGTGGTCATTATCGCTTTCCTCAACGCCACTAGTGTGGTTATCAACTTTGGCCACTTTACCATCAATATACACTTGAGTAAAGCCTTCAAAATCATCATCGGAGTCCTAATCAAAGAAAAACTCTTGAATAAACCCTCCATTGGATATTGATGCATCCATTTTTGTTTAAAAAAAAAAAAAAAAAAAAAAAAAAAAAAATCGCAAAAATATTAACATCCGTTTAATCGGTGCTACACTTTGTGTAGAGTCTAGAAGAATTTAAAATGGCATTGGAAAACGGAAGTTTAACCTTGTTCCAAAGCAGTAGTAGGCAATTTCCAGCTTAAAATATTGGAAATAACAGTTAACATGTGTTTATTTATAGCAACCGTCTCAAGGTGACAGACTATGCCTAGAGTAGCGAAGGGAGAGAATTCTATGACAACAATTTTTGCCTGCAGCGTGGTAAAGGTTAAAGCCCTTTCTTGCTCCAATTAACAGCAAATTATAGGTCATTTTATTTATTTAAATCAGCTGCTAATTTGAACTTATAATTAAGCCAGGAATAAACAGTTTTGTCATCAGCATAGATACCTAGTTGAGAATGATGACATCAGGAAGGTCATTGATAAAAATTAGGAGCAACATTTAGATCCAAGGATAGAGCCATGGGGGACATCTGCATTAATGCAAAAAGATCTAGAAAAGTGGCCATTCAACTTTCATTTCATGATTTGATAAGAGTGAACCAGATCAATAACTCGTCCAGAAATACTATAACCTTTCACCTTGTGAAAACTATCAGTAAGCCAAACCTCGTTAAATGCTATTCATATCAGCAGAATTCATGACACCAAGAAGGTGCAATGAGTCACTTTCTTGGAGGTTAGCATCAGACATATTGATGGATGGCAAAAAAAGGTTCTCTAAAACAGTTAAAAGAGAGCAATTTTATATTGGAGTCATTAAAATTAACAAGCCATTTTTGGTCCCTGTTAAAAAACAGACTGTAAATCCTTTTTAAAATCAGCTACCAATTATCATACATTAAATAAATTTTAATAGTGTTTATTATAAATAAAAAATAAAAAAAAATTGTGAATATGTAAGAAAAATTTTAGTATAGAACATTGAAATATATTCTTCTATTTGTCATGTCCCTTCAGGACAAGAGTAATCATGGCTCTCCACAATATCCTGTCTTTTGTAGCTCTTAGTAAAGTTTGTTTTTGCTATCTCTCCTTTCCCTATTATGCCAACCATTTGCACAAGCTCCTTGAAGTATATTAAAATATATAAAGGAGTACAATATACCATAAGGATTATATTTTGTATTAAGAAATAACAAATACAAAATACTCCATGTTGGAATTTTAAGATGAGGAATTCTATCCTTTGTTATTCAAATCAATATGCTCATCTTTGCTGTTATACTCACAATGTTTCAGCCATAGCACTCTCAAGCCTTCTTCATGGTTTAGTGGATTAAAGAATCATGAAAATGACAGATACCTGATGAAGGCCAGAGGTTATGACTGAAATATTATAACAATCAACATGAACATGCTGATCCAAGGCATATGAAAAAAAATAAATAAAATACATTTTCTGCCATATGCACTTAAGAAAAAAAAAATACTCCCCAAAAAATCATTTTATCTTGAGCTGAATTTTTTTGTGTAAACCTTGAGGTAAACATTACTAAGCTAACTTCTAAACACACCTTTTTGATACACTTTGTCTCCTGATGATTTTTGCTTTTAATATTCAACTGTCAGTTTTATATAAGCCAAATCTTATGGCTTTCAAAACATATATTTAAGATACAAATATATCAAAACAGAGGAAGAGAAAGAGCAAAGATAAGAAAAAAATAATACTCACCATAAAGTGGTAAAAAGTTGATCAGCTATCAATCCTCACTCTTCAGAGCTCAATTGAGGACAAAACATAAATATCTGTAAAACTACATCATGGGGAGAGAAAAAAAAGACATTATGTTAAGACCCAGCTACCATTCCTTCTGCTTGCAGAAAAATTTATCTTGCACGGATTGAATTATGGTTGCTAGATCTTAATGTAATTTATGATCCATAATGCTGATTTGCTGATACTATTTTTTTTTCTTTCTTCTCCCCTGTGATTTTAGTCATTGTGCACATGTTTATGTGTAAAAATTTAGATATAAATAAAATACATCTGTAAAATGACTATGAATAAAGACAAAAGGAAAACTTTACTGATACATTTTGTTCTATTGATAAAGTCCATCAGAAGAGGATTTGAGGTTGTAAAGAAAAGTTTTCCTTTTGTCTTTATTCACATGTTTATATGCTTTGTCCTCAATTGAGCTCTGAAGACTGATGAGCAATAAACAGTCAGTTTTTTTTTTTGTCAGTGGTGATGATGTTTTTTTGTTATATTTTCATCACTTTATGGTGAGTAATATTTTTTTTTCTTATCCTTGGGCTTTTCCTGCACCACCTGTTTTCATATACAGTGTGACCTCAGTTCTTAAACATCTCACATAGTAAACAAATTGGTTTTTGAACAGAAAATTCAAGATGAAAATGTCTCAGTTATCAAAAAAAATTTTGGTTTTTGAACAACATTGCCGAACCGAGTTAACTCGAATGGAATACTTACCGAGTTGACAACCGTGTTGTATACATTCATGTGTTGTAGTGTGTTTTTCTTTTCCAATTTTATTGTACTGTGACTTTTTCTCAACATTGATTCCTTTTGGAAAAATAGTTTCAGTTTACAAACATCTCTGGTTACGTACGGCCTTCAGAAACAAATTAAATTTGTGAACCGAGGTTCCACTGTAATTGTATATAAAATGTGATTTTAAGGCCATAACAAAATTTTGTACTCCCCACAGATTATTTACGTAAAATCTAAAAGATTACTCTATCTTGATGGTCACAAAACAAGACAGCTAATGCTGTTACTTGGAGTAGAAACATTAAAACTCTTTGACCAATAGTGAAATGTTTTGAACACAAAGAAGTTTTAAATACTGAACACATATTGTTCACGTTTCTCAAGTTATTGACAACCTGGGTTCTCAAAAAAGTGTGACCTTTTTTCCAAGATTAGTTTAACAAATAACAACAATGCACTCACTTCTTTACGGACATCCTCCCTGACAGAAGCCTCTTTGTCCAAACTGATAAACTTCACAGCAACCTCTTCCTGTGTGTCCACATTAACAGCAAGCTTCACCCTATAAAACATTCAGGAAGCAAATAACAATTACATGTTAGACAAAAGAAATCAGTGGACATCTCCAAACTCCTCACCAGCATTTTTTTTCTTTTTTTTTTTTTCTCCATTTCTCATCCTTTTTTTTGTTCCATGGTCTTTTAATAATGGGCTGAAAGGAAGAACCGAAAAGAGTTTAACATAACATTCTGTGTGACAGGGTAGTGATCCTGTTGAGTCATACTAGTGCATAGAAAGTAGTTAAGTATTGATAGACTTGATAACTCTGAGTGAAGGAGTAAAGATATTAGGAGAAAAATATATAAAATGGCTATTTAGATTGGAGTGAGTTGGAGTAGAAGTTGAACAGAACAAGTTTGGTCAGTTGGAGATGCTCATATGCCATGTTCAGACATCATGCATAAGAACAAGTCCAGCATAAAAGTAATTCATTGCTAAGACATTAGCGCCACCAGAATTACTTAATAGACATCTCTCTGTACCTGTAAGCGATCTGGGATTACAAAGGAAATGTTTGTCGCAGACTATTTCCATGTCACAGAGAATAAATCACTAAGTTCAGACTCGAACATCGGCGGCAGAAAGAAATACTGAAAACTCGATTCGCAGATACTATCTCACGAATCACAATGCATGCAACCAGTCAGAAAAATAACTTTTTTCAACAAATGCAGTAGCCAAAATACCCAAATTTCCTCCCTGATTTGAGAACACCAACTGCTTTTATCGGCCGAACATTTTTTTCCATTCGTCGACAGCTGGGAGAGGATTTCAGTAATTCGCATATCAACATACTTTTATGGCAACTCCTGCGACAGACTTGTTTTTTAATTCAAATATTCCATTTTCAGCATGTCATGCAGAATACGTCCTCTTTTATTTGGTAAGTAATTTTCTTTTTCACCACATTTTCCGTCATAGAATACACGCAACACGCTGTCACTTGGTTTGATGAGGTAAGTCACCGTTTTCTTTGCTATAGTACCTCAAGGGTAGAAAAGGAATGATTGACACAAAGCAACCCATAGCTGCTGTACAGTTTTACTGTTTCACCTCTAATTAAATTAATAATTTTTCAACAGCATCATTTTCTTCTGATTGGCACATTTACCCCCTTTTCAGCTGGATCACCTATCACTGAGCAAAACAGTCAATTGAATTCTCACCTGTAGCAACAAAAATTCATTGATCATGAATTTCTCATGAGTAAACATAAACTAAATTCACTAGATGACACAAACCCTGGTGAAGAAAGGTTGACTGCACCAAATGCAAGCCACCTTCACCAAGTGAAAGGTTGATCAATAAGTTATAACCCGTCCCCTGGCTGCGTGGTCACCAGACCTCACCTGTGCTGAAGGTGTTTATCAAAAGCAACACTCCAAGTGATGAAAATCATACTGGAAGAGTGAGGGGATATGTAGATTTGTCCCTCACATGTGTCATCTGAGTTTGTGTCATCTAGTGGTTGGTGTTTTAATGTGTACTTGTCTGAAATGACAAGTTATAGCTTTATTGGTTGGATGGTAATTTGATCATACTGTTGACACTGTTGAAAAATTATCAACATGGACTAACTAACATGTATTAACTATGGAAGAAATGTAAAAAAAAAAAAAATCAAGCAACAGCTAATTTAACTCAATTTCTTCTTTATCAAACTTGAAGCACTGACAGATGTCCAATTCTAAGAGATGTGGGAGTGCTAATGTCTTTGCAGTAATTGACTACTTTGACAGATGAAGGGTTTGGATAGAACCCTTCAAGAATATCTTCTCTGCACTATCTGATTTCTGCACATACATATGTCGCTTATATAGGCTTCTGAACCTGAATGGACAGGATTAATTAGCTCCTCAAATAAAGAACCTCCTGTTAAAAAAAAAACAAAACAAATGGCCGACCATAAAGAATTTTTCTATTTTGGCCTAAGTTTCTAAGTTTCAAAATTTTCCTTGAAATCAACATGAATCAGCTGAATATATTGTTAACAAACAAATCCTAAAGTTACCAAAAATCCAGTGGACTTTTGGCAAACCCATTCATTATGTCATGCAAACTTCCTTGGTATTATAGAGATGGACCAAGAGTGTCAATCATGCTGAAATTTACTAAATCTTACTTAATTTAAGTTCAAACTCTTCCCAGACCATCTTTATAAGTATTTTATGGGTTTAAATTAACACTTTTAAACTGGGTTTAATTTTATGGGTTTAAATTAACCCTTTTAAAACTGGGTTTAATTTTATGGGTTTAAATTAACCCTTTTAAAACTGGGTTTAATTTTATGGGTTTAAATTAACCCTTTTAAAACTTAAATTTTTTCCATCAGACTCCAATCCGCTCTCCCATATTTTCTCCTAGCTCAGAATTATCAAATCTCTTAATAACTCAAGTTACTAACCCCTTTCTATGCACTAGTATGACTCAATCAGAGCCACTGCCTTGTTATGAAGTCACTAATCCTAAAAATCTAAAAGTTTTAGACAAGGTAGAATAATGAAACTGGTATCAACATGAAGTCAGTTTAATTCTCTTAAAAAATTACTGGTTTATTTTTCAATAAATCACCAGTTAGATCAGGGTTTCTCAACCAGTGCACCCAAAATTAACAGAAGATTAATATATTTTTTATTTAAAAGCTAGAGACACAAAGCCATGTAATGTCTTAAAAATAAATGCTTATTTCAGGAGACTTCTTTATCATTTTAAAATTTCATGACTAATTTTTCCTTATTAAAATCTAAAGTGTACCTCAGAGTTTTAGTTACTGTACAAGTGTACCCTGAAGTAAAAAAAAAACAAAAAAAAAAAAAAAAAAAACATTGAGAAACACCAATTTAGAATATATTCATTTTCTTTTTTTTTTTAATTCCTTCCTTCAAGATAATTTCTGTTTTACTTTTGATTCAATTATGCAGAGCAACATTCACTTTGGGAGTGAATAGATATTTTTGAATTTTCAGTGCCTCTTCCAAGTTTAGAAACAATCTGATAGCGTCAAATTGTGGTTGTACAAAGTGAGCACAACAATTGTGAATTTAAGGTTTTTTTTGTCATTTCCAAATTAAAACTGTGTCTTTGTTTGTATCTGTTATTATTTGTTTGATTATCTTATTTATTAGCTTCTTTTGATCATAAACATTCACGTGCAACATTAATTTTGTTTGCTCAATTTTGGGAATTTTACTAAACCTTTCTAATAATTTGGCACGCTCAAATCACCATGCTGATAACAAATATGGCGCCAGTTTGTTTACATTGCGCAGATCAAGATGAAAATTTCAGTGATTGCCAACATTGTGTGAAAATTTTGTATGAATTGATTGGACGGTTTTTGAAATATTAGAAAAAAGTTATCTCGATAATAATTTGGCATGCAGTGTGTGTGTGTGTATATATATATAACTCTGGCCTCACATTAAAAAATATTTCGAATGAGTGGGCATTTTGTTATATTAATATTCAGTGTCAGGGGGACCCTTCTCACTAACTAATAGCTCTATCTTAGGAGATGTCTAGGGTCATAATCTGGTATTTGAGGTATCCCCCAAAGGTGAGGTGCCAAGGAGACTGGACTATTTTTGAACTATGGTCTAACAAGGGATTCCTATTTTAAACAGGGCCTTGTGCCACATTCTGTTCAAGTGGATGTATGAATAAATAGCTTATTCTGCAAGACCATGGTTTCTGTGTTTGCAAGGTTTTATTGCATCAAGTGTCTGAATTTCATTTAGCAAGTAACATTCCAGTACTAAAAGGTCTATTACTAATTACTGCATTCTTTATAACAAAAAACACATTACTCATTACAAAAAAGCAATATTAATCAATGCCATCACAAACCAAACTGACATTAAGTCCCTTTGAACTTGACTTTATATACTACTGAATACATTTAAACTTTTCTATCTCCATTATTAACTTATATCTCTCGTTGAAACTGACTCCTTATATATTTCATTGAATATAGATATATTTTGTCTACTTTTATACTGATGCTTTCCAGTTCTCTAATCAGTTTCTTGATGTTAAGATGAAATTCATCAAAGTAGGTGCCATAGTTTTTTCTAACCTAAGTACTTTCAATCTTTTCCAAAATCTTCAAGGATAAATTACAAAGACAAACTTATTGTTACTGGGATAAAATCTGCATTCCATTGTGATGGTGATTTTTAAAAACATGAGTGAACACCACAACAGATAAAAAAAAAAATAAAAAAAATAATAAAAAATAAAAAAAATAAATAAAAAGATGTCACTAACATTTGCATCAACCTAATACTTCAACAAAACTTAATTCAATAACTGTTTGGAACACCATATTCAGTTCCAAGAAAATCGGTTCTAAACTTATGTATTACATATGCAAATATAAAATTTATCGTTACTTCTCATCAGTAGTTTTTATTATTATTATTTTTTTTTTTTTTTAAATATTCCCTTATCTCCAGGATAATTAACATCATATGATAACAGCAAAAAAAATGTCCACTCACTCTCCATAAGCACCTTCTCCAAGAGTTTGAACCAGTTCCCAGCCTTCAATAAAAGGCGTTGACATCTTCGCTGAAAAATAAAGTCAAGAGAAGTGAAAAATGCTGTCATGTCATGCAGTTCATACATAGAATTTAATAGGAAAATATAATTCCAAATACCTTGGAAAAAAAAGGGGGGGTATTTTATTATTTCAGTTAATTTTTTTAAAAGATAGAATAGAATTCAAGCTCAGTTTAGACAAAATAAATTTATTTTGTCTAAACTGTCAGCTCGAATTTATTTTTAAAATAAATAATTGTTTAATACAGTTCTAAAATGCAGCATTAAAGAAAATATACGAAGAATATTTAACTGTAATATCCATCAGTAAAACAAATTTGATTTAAAATGGGATTCAGTTGGTGATGTTCATTCACTTGGTCAACAATACAAATTTTGATGCATTGGATGTGTTTTCCACAAAATGAATGCAGTATACACTTTTTGATTAATGTGCACTTCAAAATGTGTTACCAACTGATTGTTAACCTTTACCATGCTAATTTCTTTATCTTCCCTTGCCACTCCATTTGTTTTTTGTTTTTTTGGAGGGTGCAAAACATGAACGTCTACTGTATTAAAATTGTTATAACTTTCTATTGTGAATATAGATTTTAATTTTTGTACACTAATAAAAGAATGAATGAGTAATGTTTTGATGTAATGCATTATGTTTTGCATTCATGTTTTGATGTCGAAAACAAAAAAATTGAAACGCAAAATAAAAACAAATACTTTAAAAAATACATAAGTAATTCAACATACTTTAACTTTTATCACTCTTTGTAAAGTTCTGGGTGTGCAAAATCACTAGGAAGGTTTTCATTCCATCAGAAAAGTGAAATTTCTTAGTGTTTACATACGAACGAACACTAGCATTTGTTTGCTCTTTCTTTCACCTGACTCCTATTTATTTGTCTCATTGACAAATAAAGTTATTATTTCGTTGTTTATAAATAGACAAAATAATTCACCTTCAGAAAGGGTTATCAGATATATTGATGGTCGCCAGTAGCTTCCATAAAATTAGTCAGGTATGGATGATAGTAGCCACTAGTGGTCATCATCACTTTCCTCAACATCACTAGTGTGGTTATCAACTTTGATTACTTGACCGTCAATATCCACTTGAGTAAAGCCTTCAAAATCATCATCGGAGTCCTAATCAAAGAAAAACTCCCAAATAAACGCTTGATTGGATACTGATGTGGCCATTTTTGTTTACAAAAAATTGCAAAAAAAAACTAACATGGGTTTAATTGGTGCTACACCTCGTGTAGAGTCTAAAAGAATTCAAAATGACATTGGAAAACAGAAGTTTAACCTCATCCCAAATCAGTAATAGGCAATCTCCAGCTTAAAACACCAGAAATAACAATTGACAAGTGTTTATTTATAGCAACTGTCTCTGGTGACAGAATGTGCCTAGAATAGTAAAGAGAGAGAATTCTATTTTCACCTGCAGTGTGGTAATGGTTAAATGACAAGACAGTGCTCACAAGGTGTAATTTTTTTTTTTTTTTTAAGTGTTAAATTTCTCTGGTATTTTCATGCCTTATGACTCACACACTAAATTGATGATTGAACTATTTTGATACGTGTAGACAGACAACTTGATGCGCAACTAATTTGAAAAACACCACTATAAAATTGTCAACTTTGAAAATACAAAAAAATTGCTGTTCGTCATTGAAATAGTAACAAATTTAAACAGAAGTGAAATAAAAACTAATCATTACACATGAAAAAGAATTGTACCTTTAGAAAGAGAAATGATTAAATTTTGCTTACACATCAATTTTATCAAAACAGCTTTGAAAATAAATGAGATGTCAGCAGTTTAAATGGAAGAAAATTTTACTATCTTGACATGTGTTCACATTGTTAACTAAGGCAGTTTGGGATATCTAATCTTAGTTAAAAGAAGAAAAATCCTAATGATTTTTTATAAGATAACATTGTTTTGAAAGTTCTGTTTCTTGGGGGTTGACAATCAAACACCACCTAAAATCAAAACCCCATTTAATAAAAAAAGAGCTTCCAAAAGGCAATCACAAGCAAAACAGAAGACAATTACAACTGTGATAAAGTCTAAAGAAATGTGAGATGATTTTTTTAAAAAAAGTGTGCATTTTGCTTGACATCCTCTTACACAAAATTTAAAAAACATTAGGCCATTTATATTAAAACATTGCAAAGGTGGTGCTAACTCAAGGTAACTTCATCTGCCCAAATTGATTGCCTACCACATTGCTACTCTGAAAGCCAAATTTATCGATGTATGTCAGAATCATTGCAGATGAAACAACCAATCACCATGACCATATTCATCTTGAATGTGATCAAAAGCAATCATCAGGAGTCAAGGTGAAATGAATGAATAACTGAGGAATTCACATATTTTAATGTTGCAGAGTTTGACTTCTCTGAAATAATCAGGTGGTTGCTGTTTTATTATCTAGGACAGTGGTCGGTAACCTTCTGGAGAGAGTGGCCATGAAATCACATTATAACAAATTGTCGTGATCTCAGACTGCTTTGTCCAGAAGGCTGCCTTGATCTAGAAGTTTAAAGAAAAAACAACAAAGTTAATGATATATTATTTAAACAAGGTTCCTTATTTTACTACAGGAATAACAACACAATCAACAAAAAAAGGAAATTCCATACTACAAACGAAATACGGTTAGAAATGGCAAACTATTTAATGAGATACTTGTTTTTGCTTATTGTTTGATAAATTCTTCACATCAGGTGTAATATTTGTCAATGACAGGAGCAAAATGTCATTTAGGTGGTCATCATCCAATCTTGTTCTTAAACGACTTTTAGTAGATTTTTCTGCAACTTGCTTCTCAAATTAATTACATACAATATATTATTGCACTGATCACACAACTGTTGGAGTGTACAGCAAAGAGATGATGATGGATAAGCTGAATCAGTCAGAGCATCATCTACATCAGGTGTTGGTAACCTTTTGGAGAAAGCAGGCCAGAAAGCTATATGCATTGTCTTGGAGGAGGGCCATGATATCAAATGTATTATAACAAATTGTCTCAACCTTAGACTACTCTGTCCAGAAGACTGCCTCGGTCTGGAAGTTTAAAGAAAAAACAACAAAGTTAATGATATATTATTTAAACAATGTTCTTTATTTTACTACAGGATGACAACACAATCAACAAAAAAAGCAAATTCCTTACTACAAATGAAATACAGTTAGAAATGGCAAATTATTTAATGAGATACTTGTTTTTGCTTATTTGATAATTTCTTCACATCAGGTGAAATATTTATCAATGACAGGAGCAAAACATCATCCAGGTAACGATCAGTCTTGTTCTTAAACAACTTTTAGTAGATTTGATTTTCAAAAAAAGTTGTTCACAAGCATATTTACTTCCAAATAATGATACCATCATTTTCACACTATTTAATAGGCTTTTCTATTTTCTGTTTGTCAAAACACATTTCTTGAAGTCAACAGTGGATTTGGAATTAAATTTTCATTTAAAAAATTTGTAAGTCAATTAACTCCAAATGGTATTTTTCTGCAACTTACTCCATAAATGACAAAAATTCTTCGTGGGCCGGATGTAGCCCAGGGGTGGGAGGATGCCAACCCCTGATCTTGGAGTTATTCCTCTCTGGTACTACAAGTCCAAAGCAATAGAGTCATAGTGAAAAGGACCACTAATAATGAAAGGTTTTTGCCATGTATTGTGGAAGACCCTTCTCCTAAGTACAGTAACTTGTCACAGCACTGATTCCACAAGCGGTCAGAAGACTTCTGGGGAGAAGTTAAGCAATGATATCTTGGTAGCTATCCACAGATCCCTGAGCAGAATTTTGCATGTGTATCGATCTCCCCACTAAGTCCCAAAAATGCTTAACTAAGCTTTTGCTGAGTAAATATAGCTAAACTATCCATCAGTCTCCAAAATGTCCCTCAAACCAACCAATTCTAGGTAATATGCTGTTAGAATAACTCATTGTTAACTGGAGGTAAATAGTCCAAAAACAATATAACCTGAGGGACACCAGTTAAATGACACATTTAGGTAGGCCAACAGATCCCACCTATGTCATGTGAATACAACCAACACCATAACGTAACTAACACCAGACTGTATGGTACCTTGTTGACAACTAAGGTCTATAGTAGTGATTCTTAAAGTGGGCGGTGAAAAAAAAAAAAAGAAAAAAAGAAAAGAAAAGTGGGAAGCCGGAGGGTGGCAGTTGAACATCAGAATCATAACATGCATCCAACATTGTGCCTGAAGTGTATTTTGCCTTCACTTTACAGTGTATCTTATTTATATAACAATTATTATCTGAAATAATAAGATACTCATTTGACATGCAATACTAGAACCAAGAAAATCCAATCAAATGTTGACTATACATTTCAGGGGATTGTTACAGTTGTTTTTTGGTAGGCAAGGAAGCAGCAACCTAAAATAATTTTGGGGAGTGCCGATTTTAATTCATGGTTCTCAATGAAAAGATAAGATACATTTTATAACTTCTATTCATATTGTTAATATCGTTTATTCTTTCATATCTGCATTAAATATTTCAGTCTCTTCAATTTTCATAAAGTATGCACACCACTGAGCTTCAGTGTAGCTTCCCCACTAAAAAAATAACATTGCAACAAGGATTCCTCAACGTTAGATAGAGACCGAGAAAAAAAAAAAAAAAAAAAAAACTGTATTTTTTGAAGATTCCTCACAATGTGATTGCAACGTTGCACCATGCTGTTGCAAATACGTTGCCTTTTAATGTTTGACATTAAAAGAAAATGGATAATAAATTCCAGGAAGATACTGGAACATACCAGTGATTCCCAAAGTGAGCGGGAACCCCTGAGGGAGCTGGAAAGATCCAGGGAGTGGTAAAAAAAAGTGGTCAGCCAGAGGGTAGCAGTTGAACATCAGAACCATAACACACACCATACACCCACATTGTACCTGAAGTGTATCTTGCCTTTACAGTGTATTCCATTTATATAACAATTAT